CCCGCCCGCGGCTCGACAGCCGGGCTCTCGCCGAAAAGCCCCCCGCCCTAACGCCTGAACGTGCCCATCTGTCGGCCTTCTTAGCCTTCGGCGATCGAGGATTATAACCTTCTGGAAAAGCGCGTCTCCAGGGTGGATGGTATGGCGCGCGGTCGCGGCTGTTTCAGGAGCGCGTAGGGGCGCAGGTTTCCGAACGAATATCTACACATACCAGTATAAGTTGTACTTCTCTGGAAGGAACCGAAAATCACGGTGATATTAGAAATATCGCGGCTAGCTGGACCCAACGAGCAGCACACATACACACACATCGCCGACCAAATACCGTTTTCATGATTTTGGATCGCAGGGTTTTTCGATAGGGTATTCCGCTGCAATAAGGTAATCGGAAATCTAAAGAAGAAGTACATGACTGCCCGATCTATGTTTCCTCCTGAATGCTGAATGGTTGACGATGACGTCGATGTGCGTCAGTCAGCCAGCTTTCCTCCTCTACGTTCCTGTGTGTTTTGTTTTACCGCGTCGCACTACCCTATTCTGTGTTTGATACTAGCCGGTCAAGCGGACCGCCAGAGGTACCAACTGAAACGCCGTGGACTGTGACCCGCCACAAAAGTTCCGGGAACCTCCCCCTCCCTCCCTCACCGTGCCAGGAAGGACAGGAAAGCCCTGTCGTCGGCGGTCTTCCCTATACCTCTGAATGGAGCTGGACTACGGGCCACTGTGCTGTGAGCTTACAGTATAAAGTAGCTTTCAAGCTTGAACGAATAAGCATTCACCCCTACAAGTGTGCAGCGAGCCACATTCACACACTTAGAAGGTCGAGAAAAAACATGCCAGAAGATCACAAGCCTTCATCCGTTTTTTCGGAAATTGGCTGCTTTTTTATAGGGTCTTCGTATTTTGCTGGGAGGCAAGCGGGACCTAAAGAAGAAAAAGCATGACTGCCTGATCTGTTTCCTTCAGCTAGCTGATTGGCTGTCCGCCACACTGACGCCATCGTCGGCTTCACCGCTTTCAGCACGACCACGGAGTAAAATGGTTATAAAGAAACGGCTTTGCATCGCGCCTGAACCACGACGACAACGGGTCGATGTAAGATTATTATGTAAACCTACTTCATGAGGCCAAACTTTGCAGAACCACAGAATTTTTTTACTACTCGGATAAAATTTTGAGTTTTGGTGGACAACAAGATTCAGAGATAAACTAACACTATAAATAACGCATGATTTATCAACTAATTTTGTTCTATTTTGGAAGGGCATGAGAGCGAGAGAGAGGAGAGAGCGAGAGAGAGAGAGAGAGAGAGAGAGAGAGAGAGAGAGAGAGAGAGAAACAGAGAGACAGAGAGAGAGAGCGCATACGAGCGCACCCCTTTTCCCCCTCCCCCGCCTCTCAGCCGCTAGCCGGCGCGCCGAGCGGCCGCGCGCGCCGTTCAGTGTTACCAGACGTACCGCCTTGGCGGTACTTGTACCGCCTTTTGGGGCTCCGTACCGCCATACCGCCTTTTCACCCTCGTGTACCGCCTTTTCGCCTCGCGGAGGTATTTCCCGGATTTTCCTTGTTGGCGCGTCCGGTCGGTCACTAATCCCGCCCGGGCGCCCCGGGGCACGGGTGTCTGCTACCTGTGGACCGTGGGGTCGAGTAGCGGGCGCACAGTAACCCAGTAGTACCCAGTAGCAAGAAGTGTCCCCCCTCCCCGTCCCCTTTCTCTCTCTCACCAGAAGAAGAGAATAGACTGGCGAGACGGCACTGACGTTGACGCGCTTGACGGACTTGACTTTAATAGAATAGAAACTTAACACCTTTTTACCTCTATGTGCCCCTGATGGTAGGCAATTTCCTAAAAAAAGGTCATTCGATCCAATATTTGAAAATCGCGCGCTCCCCCCACCCCCCGTACCGCCTTTTCGTCCCAAATACCGCCTTTTCGAGCGGCCCGTACCGCCACCTAGCGGCCAGAGTCTGGCAACACTGGCGCCGTTGAGTCAGTCGGTTCAGTTTGGCTGCGACCGGCGCCGAGGGAGGTTGTGCGTGCGCGTTCACGCCGGCCCGTCCCGCCGCACGCCCCGCCCCGCGAGCGTGTTTCGAGAGAGTGACCGGCGACACGCGGAGTGACGACAACGCGAGTGACGGGCGAGTGCGCGCGCGCGTGCGTGTGTGTGACGAGTGTTTGCGTGCTGTCACGCTGTGACGGGAAGTGTGACACCCTTCTTTGTCTGTCATCATCTTTTTGGATACAGTGACCCGCGCGAGTGAGTGAGCGCGCGTGAGTGCTTTGTTAGTGAGTGTGAGTGCGTTGTGAGTGCGTCTAGAGTGATACCCGAGAGGGTCCCAAGTGCACTACGGCTCACTGTGCCATTTACGAGGCTCCTGCAGCCAGCTCCTGAGCCCGCAGCAGCCGCAGCGGGACGGACGAGGCTGGCGGCCAAGGACCGCGGCTAAGCTAGGCAGCGGCGGCTCGGCAGGGCCCGCCGGACAGACCCGGCTGGCAGGCAGGCGGGCCGCTCAAGAGCAGCCGGCAGGCAGGCGCAGGCCAGGCAGGCGCTGCTCGGCGACAGCGTTGCCGGTTCGTGCGGCCGGGCGTCGAGAGACCCGCCGGCAGCAGGCCGTGCAGGCCGAGGTGCAGCAGAAGCAGGACCGGTGTCAACAAGGTGTTCAAAGGTGAGTAGCGGGCCTTGCAGGCGACCCTGCGGCCTGTGGTGTGACCGCAGGATGGCAGGATGGTGTTGTCCAGTGTGCTCACGGGTCGACGCGGGCCCACCCTGCTGCCCTGCAGTCCAGTGTGTTGACATGTCAAAAGGCGGCCTCGTCTGTCTTTTGAGCTGACAGGGCGACCGGTGTCCAGTGCGTTGACATGTCAACGACAGCCCCAACTGTCTTACTGTGAGTGAGCTGACAGTATTACGCAGACACGAGGTGTTTAGTGTGTTGACATGTCAATCACAGCGTCAACTGTCGACTGTCTAGTGTGTGCGCTGATAGGGTTAGACAGGACCGAGGTGTCCAGTGTGGCGACACGTCAACGGCGGCTTCGACTGTCTTCGTTTGAGCTCACAGGGCGAAAGCATGGCCGAAGTGTCCAGTGTGTTGACATGTCAGTGGCGGCTGGAACTGTCTTGTAAGCTGACAGATCTACGCAGGGCCGAGGTCTCTAGTGTACAAGTGTATTAGTGACATGTCAGCGCCTAGTGCATTTAACGGGACGGCTAATGTACACAGTCACTCGGGGCTGGGTCCTTGACAGCGACAGCGCAGGCTCTCAACCATTTCGTTGAGTCTCTCAGAAATGTCCGTTTATTTAGCATGAATCGCGAGCCATAAATGTTTGGGAGTGCGTCGCGTTGATTTGAGTGTGTTGTTCTGTGCGATGTAGGATGTAGGCCAAGTAAGATGTAGTGACATGGAACGGGGGAGTCCTCAGGTGCACCGCTGGCGCCGCCACTAACACATTCGGTTAGGGGCCGCCTGAGCGTCCATACGACGCTAAGCCCTTTGTTGGTGCACTCGACCACCGGATAAGGGGGATGAGGCTACGCAGGGGAGCCGCCCCCCCCTCCCCCACTTCCCCCGACACTCTCGGGAGGTGAACGGAACAGAGGAGGAAATGCATTCAAGTCCCCGAAGCCGCGCCGCTACGTTGGCTGCTCGCTGGTGCTCCGTGCGCCGACAGGCCGGCGTCAAAGGGGTTGGTGGTGGTGGGTGCACTCCGGCCCGTCGAGAGGCGGTCGCGCACGAGTCCCCCTTTGAGCGGTTCAAGCCCCAGCTGCTGGAGAACCGGTGGTGGAGAACACTCGTTGCACAAAACGGATTAGCCCAGTGTTCTGGCTCGCACTGTGATGCGCTACAGTACTCGGCCCGGCGCTATACACCCCCTTGGGAGCGCTTGACGGATCCGTTCGGTCCGCGACCAGCCAAAGAAATGCTCCCAGGCTTCCTGTAGGCCGCCTTGTGTAAGAACTCCACTGTAAGTTTCTCACGAACAACTCTGCAATTTGTAATGTACATTACGAAGAACGTGATTTGTATATTTGTGTGGGGCTTTTCGTAATACGACCCAGGGTTGTTCGTATAACATGAATCAAAATCGTTTGTAACATGGCTGCTTCGGATCCTTTGTTACGTTACAAACCCGATTCTTCGAAATAACTTAGAGAACAACTAGGAGATGTCATCTACATCGAATGAGGCGAAAATCACGCCCGTGTATTACATAAATGCGGTACGTGTTTTACAATCTGGAAGAAACTCCCTCCTCGTGCTTCAGTTTGCTGGAGTGCCGTGTCGTTCCAGCTGCTAGTGGGTGTTGGCGGTGTTGGCGTTCGTTCGTCACGGGGCGTGTGTACAGCACGCACGCGCACGACCCGGTCGTGCCCGAGACGAACCAGTGCCGCTTGCACTCCTCACACCACCTCACCGTTTGCTCTCTTAGGCGCATAGCCTGCCCCCCCCCCCCCCCCCCCCCGGGGGCCAGCTGGCAGGCAACTTCTTGAGACTCAGCGCGAGCTGCCAGCTCGGCCTGTCCTGCCTGCCTGCCTGGTGGTGGTGGTTGCGGCGAGTGTCGGCTCGGCACCCCCCGCATGGCCCCGACCGCGCTCGGTCCGAGCCGCCCGCCCGGCTCGGCAGCTCCTCTGGAGGATGAGGGATTAAACCCAGAGTGCGATAGAGAGAGAGAGAGAGAGAGAGAGATAGCGAGAGGATGAAACAAACGCGTACCCGCCCAGCCCAGTCCCCCCCGGCTCATCAGGCTCAGCGCCATTCTGAACGCAAAGTGCGCGCCGCGCGGCGGGCCTGGAGGGTTCTTCTCAAAGGAGAGAGAGAAAGAAAGAGGCGATGGCTGGAGGAAGGAGGTCCGCGAGTAGTACCCAATCGTATCGGGTGACACAAATCGAATATAAGCGACTCTGCCTTCCGCCACTGTCTGTCTGCTCTTGAATCTTCTTCTCGCAGCAGTCCAGCTGCACTTTGAAATTAATTTTACGACGACGACGACGACGGCGGCGTCGACGTTGATTCCTTGACGATATTCCGCTCGACAGCCGAGCTGCTCGGGAGTCGCCCTATGGCCGCCGGACAGTGATCCAAGTATAAAGGATTTTCGGGTCAGACAGCCGTTGCCAGCGAAAGAGTGTTGGTCGCAGCGATAGAGGCCCATCGGAAGTGTCTGTTTGCTTTGCAGTGTGCCCCGAGAGCCGTGTGTGCGTGCGTGTGTGTGCAGTTCAGCCGGGGCACGCAGGTGGTGAGCCGGGGCGGGGCGCTGCGCTGTGGGAGTGCTCTCTTGCCCCCCTCCACCCCCCCTTTTCCGAACCTCAGCCGACCGGGGCAGTGGTGCAGTGCACACCAACCAGGTATACACTGAGAAAAAGAGTACACGCACAACGACGCCTGGGCAGAGTTTTTACTTTTGTTACCATTCATGCAAGTGTGGAACTCCGTAGTTGTACACCTTGCAAGTGTTCGATATGTACCGAGGCGAGTCCTACACAGAGAGCGTGCTATCTAAGGGAGTGCTCAACTCCAGCCTAAGCAAAGCGACCCGGTTAGGAACCGATTCTACCCGACTTTTCTGCTGCAGTCACTGTGGTTCGGATGCGACCACAGAATTCGGGTCTATCTAGCACTGGTGTGGCGGAGCGTAGTGAGTGCGAGCGGAGATCAGGTGAGAAGTGAAGAGGGGAAGTAGTAGGGAATCCGCTGAGGAAGAATCGCTTTCGGCCCGGGTCCGGGTCAAGCCGCTCCGGGATTCGGTTTGGATTGGGGTCCAAACCGGGTCGCTACGCTCAGGCCAGGCTCAACTGCAGTCCTCATGAGCAGTATGAGTTGCACACTACTTGCAAGTACAGTAGTACTATACACCTACCGAGTTGAACACTTTGCAAGTGTACAACTACGGAGTTCCACACTTGCAAGTATTTAATATGCAGTTGCACACTTCCAAGTGTTGGAGCAGTTGCACACACACTTACTTTATCGTCGTAAAATAACGAAAGTTATCCACATTTCCAAAAGTTTGGGGCGTTGCTATCATTTGGTGTAGGTACCTCTCAGGGGGAAGGAAGGGGTACCTCGTGAGAGGGAGGGAAGGGGGAGGGGGTCCTATATTTATTGTGACAGACGGGCTTATCGGCAGCGCCTACGGCTGCCTACGGCCTCCACGCGGCGGCGTGTTATCAGCTAAGCGCCCCCGATAGCGCGCCGCGCGCGCCAGCCGCACCACTCGAAATACCATGCGGATGAATCGGACGCACAATTAACCCATTCGACATTGTCGAGAGAGGCGTTGCTGTATTGGTGTGATTGCAAAATGTCGAAATAAATGTATCGCCCCGTGTAGGAGGTGACACCCCACATCGTAACCCCCTACGGCAGGATTATAACTGTTATCGTGGCTGTTTTATCGGAAAGCTTCAGCAGTCTATCGGAATAAGGGCCTGCAAAAAAGGACAACCCGTTCATATACATATAAAAATAGTGTTATCTACATGTACCACTGTTAAAATCTCACGAAGAAATATTTTATTCAAATCCTTCGTACCGACGACGTTTTGCTCCGTAAGGTTTTAACTGTGCTTTACAGTAACAAACTGCAAACGCAAGTGTGTGAATGTCGCACACTTGCAGTTGTTTGTGTTTGAATGCTCATTTGTACATAACCTGTCCTATCACAAGGTGTGAATTTTCCTTATTCAACATTCGCGCAACTTTCGCCCCGATGTCTGCGAATGTCCTTTCTTTTGCACGCCTACAGTGTGAGACATGTCCTCACACTTGAGAGTTTTCGATGCTGATTTCTACTGCAGGAAAAAGAAAGTATTTCTCCGCATTTGCAACAGCAGCATAGCGGTTGTGTAAGAAGGCCTCTGTTGCAGGTGCGAAAGCGGGATCCATATATAGTATACACAGTCGGCACGGAAGCATCACGCACAGCAGCAGGTGACGCGCGCGCTCATCGTGTTGTTTGGATTGGCTATCGTTCCCCCGATCTCTCTCTCGGGACACACAGAGGGCTTCCTTGTCCTGCTTCGGGTGCTTCGGGCCGATGAGCTCTGTAGGGGTTATCGTTTGGTCGGTTGTGGCCCCGGGGCGCAGCTCAGCGCCGCCCTCCGCCTCGGGCCTCCAAACACGCGCGTGCTGCTGTCGAGAGCCGGGCCGCGCGGGGCGGTACGGGACGCACTCTCGGACAAGCAAAACAAACCCATTTCCACCATGCCGGGGGGGTCGCACGCACGTCAAGCGCTGGCCGTTGGTGTGGTGGTGGCCGCCCGGGACAAGGCGCGCCGGCGCTTTCACTCCTATCCTGAGCAAACAGGTACAACAACACACTAAGAGAGCGTGTGGCGCCCCCAAAACCGCCCACGGCGACGGGTGGACGACGGCCGGCCTCTGCCTCGCGGGCGCACTGCGCTACAGCGTCCCCCTACGCCCACCACGCATACGCACTGTGGAAAATACTCGTTGGAAAACAAAACAAAATTTGTTTTAGACAGTCCCCCAGTGGCTGCCTCTACCCGAAGGTAGAAGTTTCTCGTTTTATTGCCTGTTCTCGTTATGCAGTTTTGATAAAGATTGCCGATTGACGTTCTAGTTTCAGTATTTTAGACAGTCGACATCATAGTTGTTTTTGATTTTGAGGAAAAATTTCCTATGGCCACAATTTTCTTTAC